TACACACCGCACTAATACTGTATATTAAAGGTAGGCCTACTCACCAAATTACAGTAGATTACATCAATTGTTGTGCCTTACTGTACCTAGATACGAGTACAGTAATCAGTTATCTTCATCTGTTTCCTGTTACTTGCCCAATACACACTTTCTAAATTACGTTCAATGTCCATATCAGAGAAATTCAGGAATGAAAATGACGTTACATACGAGGTTGATGCATTTGTGCATGTCGTACTAAGCAAGGTATAAAAACAGTTGCTTTATGAGGAATTAGTTCGTACCATTGAATATTGATGCAATAGACAAGGTGTCGCAGAAACCGATGTTGCTATAACCAAGTTTTACTGTATGTTATGTTATGTTATAAACCCAGCGATAACTGACATTTTGTTCTTTCTATTGCCTTTCCTTATTTTTAAATGATAAAGCCTCTCTTGATGAGCTGAACATTCATGATCNAGGGTGATTTAAATGTTTAAACCACCGGTCCGCAATGTGTTAATGATGGTATGGCAATATTTATTCTTTTATGAAGTTTTTATCATTTATATATGAAAATAATGAGTAATTCAACATTCTCATTGTCTCTGGCATTATATGAACTGAGCGGGTAAAGTTTTTCACACATTTACATAATCTCTTCTACTTGGAGCCAACTACTTATTAGGAGCCATCCTTTACAGGCTGTACTGCTTTCCCACAACACAGAGTTAAGTTCTCCTAAATCATATGTATGTATGTTATGTTATGTTATGTTATAAACCCAGCGATAACTGACATTTTGTTCTTTCTAATGCCTTTCCTTATTTTTAAATGATAAAGCCTCTCTTGATGTGCTGAACATTCATGATCCTTAACTGTAAAACGTTTCTTGCCATGATGATTGGTACATCAACAAATATGCCATTTAAGTACAATTACAAACCACTCCGTCTAATGTGACCTATAAGTTTTTACTACATGAAAACTTATCTCCCTTACATGTTTCGGTCCTTATGGACCATCTTCAGAGGGAAACATCATTACAGGCGGCACAAAATCTGCCCCATACATGAAAGATGATAGGAGGATGGACACGAACCTACATGGTTTATAAATTATAATTTTTGACAATCCAGGTTTTTAAATAATATCTAGAAACTTTTAAAAACTTTACAATACCAGGAAGCTGCTGTGATTATGAATTGTTCTAGTCTATGCGTACTGTGCGTTGTAGCATATAAGTATATGTAATTTAAATCAGATCAACTTTTGTGATGGTAGTTTCCAATTTGTAATGATGTTTCCCTCTGAAGATGGTCCGTAAGGACCGAAACATGTAAGGGAGATAAGTTTTCATGTAGTGAAAACTTATAGGTCACGTTAGACGGAGTGGTTTGTAATTGTAATTGTTAGTGTGACGGACCAGAATGAAACAAATTAAATGCCATTTAAGTTTTTTTTGTAAAATCACTCAAAGCCAGAGATCCCAAGTTTTCATCTCCTGTTTTACGCATTTGTTTTTGTGTAAGTAGCCTTCCATCACACAGAGTGGCTGATCATATTTAGTCTCTGAAAGGCGGTGAGCCATGTGAAAGAAATCAGTCCATACCATCTTATTCCACTCTTTGATTAGCCAACAACTTCACGAACTGGAATTTTGTTGTTCAAGTGTAACCGTTTCCTCTTCATTGCCATAACACTTTTTACTTAACATGCAGCACACTCACAGAAGCATTTCCAACTTCCCTTCACCAACCATGCAGCACAGTATACAAAGAAACAAGTTATTTGACTGA